TATCTAAAAATTCTTTCATATAAAAGAAAAAAAAAAAGCAAATGTTGATGTTCCCGATGAACACGTCAAGAAGATTTTCGGTGTTGAAAAACATGGATATTGAATGGTTGAATATGAGATGAAAGAGGTTAATTGCCATAAAAGATCTCTACATCTTGATTTTCACCTTCCATGTGGCATAAGGTTGGAAAGAAATTGCCTATGAGTATATAAGGTTTGAACACTCATCCAAGCTTCTATCGTGTGGTCGAGAAAGTCTTGTATTTTGCTTGACACAACATATCTATCTCTTGGAGACTCTGATGCATGCATGCTAGTCAACGTGAATGAGAGTTGACTGATTAATATATGAGACTTAGACGTTTGATGAATGTTGGAGATTTAGATGTGAAGAGTTTAATTGTGAAAGAAAAAATCAACTCATGTAATAATTGAATGATTCATTAATGTTTGAATTTTATTGACTAGTCGATAGGAGTCACATTTGTTCCATTATCATAAATGGAGTTCCAATTTGTTCATTAGTAATGTAGTGTGGATATATTTTTTTCTTCGATGACAAGAGTACATGCCACTTCCTAAGTGTCGACATATTGTATGTTATGTTTATCAATCTTATAGAGCTATCCTCGTTTCAGATAACCTATGTCACAAGTTTAGTATGATGATAAAATAACTCAATTAAATGATCTCCATTAAAACTAAACTAGAGGTATACTCGAGAATGCGTCTTAAATATATACATTAGATAGTATGTAACTTAAGGAGTAATACCCTTAGAGCTTATCAACCAACGAATTATAAAACTAAGTCAAGGATATATTGGACAAGAGCCCTTCAACTTTTAAGATAGAGCTTATTAACTAATGAGTCTTGAGTCTTTTATAACTAAAATTTGTAACCATCTCCATTTAGTAGATAGTTATTTTGTAATGAATATTACAGGAAATAAATTAATTAAATTAATTAGATAAAATAAAATAAATCTCATTCAACTCAAACCCGACTTCAAAGACTCTTAAACACCTTTCTACATATATCTTAAAGCACGATCTTATAGATAAAACCTAATAATACTCACCCACTTTAAGATCCTGATATATATAAGGCATGTATAGAACAATAAAATCATAACTGTAAAGGATATTTTTTTGAAATGTTGTTCTTCAAGTAATTTGACAAGTAATTCATAGATATTTGCTATTCAATTATGTCTTAGGTTACTGGCATTCAAATTTTTAATGTCCTCAATTCGAGATGATTTGGTAGGACACTAATTGACCATATTTAGACGTCAACATGTCACCAGCAAACAGAGTGTGACAGACCATTCTTTTATAAATGATCTAAAGAAATAGTAAGACTAGTAACACTCTGTTCTTACAATTAACATTTTATTACATTGTTGTGGAAATTCAATGGTGACTCAAACAAAGGCTCGATTACACCAAATTTA